TAAAACTGTACTATAAAAGTTTTATGTGCATTTCTGTATATATATTATATTTCACATATGATGTTTGTAAAAATCATATTTAATGAATTTATAAAAACTAAATAACATAGGTATGAAGCAGGAAAGGAATGATCCCATAAGATTAAAAACAGAATGGTACTATCCAGCACTAAAAATAAGATCAACCCTCTAGTAGATAAAAGTTGTTTCCCATGGAGGAATAGGTTAACAATCCTGACATTGCTATACATGTACACTGGGACAGAATAGTTAAGAAAATGGACGGTGGATGGTGGCAGCCAGGTTCCTCACGGTTGGAGTGGGACTTTACAGATAAGCAGGGAAGGAGAACGATCCATTTGCTAATGGATTCGAGTTGGAGACATCAAGAAGAATTCCTATTTAGCTTATAGTTACAGATGATAGCACACAGAAATGTTCATATACGTGTGTATAAACAAGGGTTAGTGTACATACGTGTATTTCTTTGCCGTCAGATGAGACGGTCTAAAAGAAACAATATTCCAGTAGCAACGTGCAAACCTATCACCCAGATCTTTGTTTCTAATCCCATTCTCCAAAAAAAGGAACTAGGGCTCCTTAGAGAAATGGCTGATTCTAGGACTGGGGCATAGTAAGATAAGCCTGGAGCATCCTGTAGCGCCAAAAGTAAGGAACTGTTAAAAAACAAACAAGCCCACATTGATGGAGACATATCAAAGAAGCCAAGTGAAAGCTCCCAACAGCCAAAGCTGGAGTAATTTGAGCAACAAAATAAAGTAGTATTGGATTCTAACCCACAGTATAAATAAACATCCATGAATCCACACTGACACGAATAAATGATTGAATAAATTAATAAATGGGAAAGAAGAGACAAAGAATTCCAAATAATTTATATAGATACTTCACCCTAAAGGAGGGGGAGCATGGCACACTACTCCTTCAGTGTGGGCTGCACATACAGACTTCCTTCCAAAGAGTGCAGTAAGGAAAAGGTGGGAAAAGAGAGTAACTTTCCAGTGGAGAAACCTGACAAACACTACTTCCGCCAGTTGATCAGCATCAACAGCCTTAAATCAAGTTGATAGTATGTACCGCGATGTGACTATGGGACTTTACACCAGACAAATTCCAGTAGGGGGAATTCTACAACACACCTGACCAGTACTCCTGAAAACTGTCAAGTCATCAAAAACAAGGAAAGTCGGAGAAACCGTTACAGCCAAGAGGAGCCTAATGAGACAACAACAACTAAATGTAATATGAGATCCCGGAACAAAAATAAAGGATATTAGGGGGAAACTAAGAAAACCTGAATAAAGTATAGATTTTAGTTAACAATAATGTATCAGTATTGACTCACTAATTGAAATGAATGTACCAAACTAGGGTAAGATGTTAATAATCAGGGAAACAAGGTGTAAGGTATGCTGTAACTCTCTGTATTTCTTCATGATCTTTCTGTAAATCTAAAATTGCTCTAAAAAACAAAGTCCATTAAAAATTTTTAAAAAAAATAAGATCAACACATCACAATATCCACGAAAGAAAACACAGAACATATGTAATGCTGGTATACAACAGAGAGAATATTACAAATTTACATCAAAAGGATGGACTATTGAATAAGTGATTCTGGGACTACTGGCTGTTCGAGTGGGAAATAAAATCAGATAACTGCCTCACTCCATATACAAATTACAGTTGGACTAAAATTCCAAATGTGTAAAACCAAATTTTTTAAGTTATTAAAAGAAAATCTTAGAGAATATCTTCATAATCTTGCAGTAGGAAGGAAAGGCCTTCTTAAGCAGAAGAAAAAAAGCATTAACCATACAGAAAAGACTGATTGGTCTACACGAAAGTTTTCAACGTCTACAAAAGAAATGATACTATCTAATAAGGAAGAGAAAAGGACAAATGACTGACCAGAAGAAATGGCGTTCAACCTAAAATGACCCAAAGGATTAATATATACAAAATACAAATAAAGAAATTCTGCAGGACCGGCCCCGTGGCTTAGCGGGTAGGTGCGCGCGCTCTGCTGCTGGCGGCCCGGGTTCGGATCCCGGGCGCGCACCGACGCACTGCTTCTCCGGCCATGCTGTGGCCGCATCCCACGTACAGCAACTGGAAGGATGTGTATCTATGACATACAACTATTTACTGGGGCTTTGGGGGATAAAATAAATTAAAAAAAAAAAAAAGAAACATTTAAGAAATTCTGCAAATAAATAAGAAAATGACAAACCAATAGAAAAATGGGGAAAGGATGTGAATAGGAAAATCGCAGAGGAATAAATGGCCATTAAACAAATGGAAACATGCTTAATGTCAGTAGTGTTACACACTTAACATTTGAGATACCACATTTTCCCCCACCAGATTGGTAAAAATTATAAAGACTGATAACATTGAAAATTGGCAAGAATGTGGGGGAAAGGATCTTGAATGCACTGTCTGTAGATTAAGTGGTTTAACCACTCTGGAGGACAATTTGATAACATCCATTAAATATATAGGTCTTTTCTCCCAAAATATTACAAAAGAAGCAAAACTAGGGTTTTCATTAACAGTAGTCTGGTTCACTAAATTGTGACACTATGGAAAATTATGCATTAGTTTAAAAGAATGAGGTAGATATATAGATGTATGTAGAGACAGATATATAGATATGTTTATAGATATAAAAATATACATAAACACATTTATATACACACACACACACCATGGAAATACTTCTCCAAAACACATTACTTGGTGTAGAAAGTTATACAACAATCCATAGAGTATGACAGAATCTGTGACTAACAAATAAAAAAAGACATAAAACATATTTATGTAGATACATATGTAAGTGTTTAATGTACAGAAAATTCTTGAAGGATACTCATCAAACTGAGAAAGAAAATGAGACTGAAGGAAGGAGAAGGGTGGGTAGTAAGGATTCCTTTCCTTTTTGATCTATGCATCTTTGACAATAAGAATGTTTTTATGTATCACTTGTATAATCAAAATTTTTTTTTCTTAGCAAAATAAATAAAAAGGAAAGAGGGAGAAGTGGTGGCAGTTTTACATTGAAAGTATTTTCCCACGAGTACTGAGGCCACTGTTAGCCGGGGGCCGTGCCCTGCTGCAGAAGCATCTGCCCTTCAGTTATGCTCCCTAACTCTGTTCCCCCTGGAGACCCGACAATGGAACAACAGCAACGACACTGCTAGGCAACACTGCTCACGGTAGAAATGACCCCTGACTGGTAAACTGCATCTGGTCTGAGAGGAACTACAAGGGAACCATAAGCATCTGATGAGTACGCTGTACGCTGGGGTTTCCCTAACTGGAGTGACTATTCTAACAGGCACGTCTTCTCTGCCTGAGTCAAACCTTGTTGGGACATAGAGGTCAAAAAATATCATAATGCCAGGTGTGAGTCACATAGGCATTTTAGATTTGCACCAAGTGAACCAGCTATGGGTGGAAAAGTCCTTTTTAAATTCTAAATAGCTCATGCTATTTTTCATGACTGACACCTAAACTGCCCTGTAAACTATAAAGACTCCATTTTAATCATTCCCCAGGTGAGATGGAAGCAATGATATTTTGCATTCAATTAAACTAAGGCATTTTTGGTGAATAGCAAGGCAAAAACTTATTACACACGGTAGTAAATTTATGGTGCAAATAAATTTTATCTATAATTTTCCAAACCACTATGGAAAGTTAAATCATTCATTTTATATAGTAGAACATAATGTGGTACTATATAAAAACTAAAAAGAACAAAAAAATTTTTCCGAAGGAGCTGGCCTCCAAGTTAATGTCTTGAGAAAAAAATAATTTATGCTATTTAAAAATCAAAATCACTTCCTAAGAAAAACTAATCCTCAGTGTAAATCACAGTGGAAAAACAATCATTCTTGATGGATAAAGATGAGCAAAACTTGCCAAAATATAAGTACGGATATGCTTAAAATAGCAAAGGATAATATTTACAAATAGTGCAAATGAAAATGCCAATGTAATGTAATATAACACAAAATCAAATTTGTGATTCAGCCTTTTTAAAATTATGGTGACAGTAACTGTCCAGTCTGAGACAGCTACCTCAGCTGGTTATAGAATGGTATTAACGGAACCAAAATCAGTATGCTCAGCACAACACAGAACATTCTTTTTAGTCACATCTATGCCACCACTTCTTTTGAGGGGTCTTATAAACGCAACGCATAGCTCCCCAACCTCACTTACATTCTGTTTTAATAGTTCTGGGAAAGGTCCAGGAATCTACATTTTTTAAAAGTGCTGATTCTGGGGAACCCCAGAATAGGACTTCAAAGGGGCACTGACCTCCCTCACCCACCTCCTGCAACAGGCCAGAAGGAGGGGATTTTACACATACATACATGCAGGGGTGTTTTTCCCTTTCTGGAAATCTTTATTCTAAATATCACTAAGTCTTACAACTGATAATAAGGGGAAATACGTTTGCTTTAATCGAATCACTTAATGACATGTATCAACTTCGGAATAGTTTTTACCTCTGGTGACAGGAAGAAAGAAAATGGAAGAATGCAGTAGGGATAAAGTTTTATTTCTTAAAGCAAAAAAGTGAGAGGTCGAAGTAAGTATGGCAAAGAGTTTCTATCCGTCACTCAATCCGAGTAGAGGGTAACATGAGTATCACGGTATACTGAACTGTATGTTTAAAATACTTAATAGTTGTTTTAGAAATTTAAATGCATGGCATTATTCCAAAAGGCAAGACAGTACAAGGGCATCAGTGCAAGCCATCACTACCTGGAGACAGCAGTCCCTCAATGGCCTGCGGTATTTTTTATCTTGGAACGATGCGTCCAAGTTGATATTACACCCTCATGTTGTTGACAGAAAAGCAAGCATGATCTGTTTGCACTTGCTTAGAGCGATGCTGTTTTTCACTGCGAACAAGAAAATTTCAGCAAGGATGAAGGAAAACTGCCCCTCTTGGGTTCACATACCTGTGTCACTACCAGAACCTGTGGACAAAGCTGGCATGACGCACGCTGCAGGCTGGGACGCCACACTCCAAACACGCTCAGCTCAGCAAGCCGCAGGGAATTCCAGCTCGACGGCCTGCAGCCACGCTGTCTACTGGGATTTATGTGCCAGGCAGGCCGTTTCTACGAAGAAAAGGAACACTTTAAAAATAGTAATAATAAGGAAGGTTACGGACTGCAACATTCTGCAACTAATTCTAAATTCTTAATCCAACTCACCACCAGAAAGATCACAATTCTTCAGAATTTCTTCTACAGACCACATACAAATATTAAGTGTAAGAGTTTTTTATTTTGACGTGAGATTTCTAACTAAAAACATGAAAATTCTGCATGCATGTATCAAAGCTTCCTGAAAGAGTTTTACAGTTGGTTTGAGAACTGTGAATTACATAGATGGAGAACTTAAAGAAGCTTTTGTAAGTCAATGCCATTCTAAAATTCCTTCCTTCTGTTATAGTTCTAAGCTGTAATTCCAAATGTAGAACGGAGACTCTATCAATCGGCAACAACTTATAACCAATTGTAATTTTTAAAATAGTTCATCCTAATATGACAACTGCAAAGTTCTCTACTGAAAACTGCAAACAACCTTGAAAGAATACTAGAGCTGAAACAAGATGTTATTATAGACTTTGAGAAGTGTCAATAATCTAAACCTAACAATCCAAGCTAATCTACAAAAGTAAATTCTTTTAGTGAAAACTAAACGTTGACATATCTTGGAAAATATCAATCTTTTTCAATAACTATTTTAACTAATGTTTATCCCAAAATAAGCAGTAAAGGCACTATTGCATAGCAGCTAAGAGCAAGGGATCCAGAGTTTAGCCTAATGTCTAATCCTGCTAGCTCTGTGATCCTAGACAAGTTATTTAAACTTATTAAACCTTAACTTCCTTATATGCAAATGGAGATAGCAATTTTAAATTGTTTGATAATTACGCTAAGGCATAGAACACAGCGTCAGGCACATGGCAAGAAAATAATTAATGCTGGCTATTATGATTGGGGTTGCTTAATTCAGGTAACGAGATTATAAAATGAAAACATAAAAGAAAGTAGCAAGATTAAAATTTACGTTGGCCTGACACCTAGAAGGAGCCCATGTGGTTTAAATTTGGACCACTGCTGCCTAATAACGGAAAATACACTGCATTTACATTTTTTAGAAATCAGAAGAATTACACAATGTGTTTCAGTTCATTTTGAACGCATTTTCCCCAGTTCTCTATAAAGTTAAATTCAGTCATTTAAAAGCATATTTTAACATCTATTAACATGAAAAACAGATACTGTAAACACTCGAAAAACTGGCTCACTTCAATTCTTAAAGCCTTTAAATTGCTGATTCATATTACAGAATAAAGAAAATGAGCTTGCCAAACTTCATGTGGAAAAGTCCAAACTGTAAAATTCTACTCAAACCTTCTAAATGAGCTTTCTAATTATCAAAGTGACTGTTAACATGAAAAAATTCACCAAATTAACTACCTAGGACCAGACTATCTGGTGCAATGTCTTGAATTTTGTTTTATATTATTACAAAGTTGATCAAGTTAAAATATACATACAAATCCATACAGAGAGGAGCGTTAAAAATATGAGGGCAGTTATTTTAAATAACAAATGAAAATATAAATCACTAAGCTAAAAATGAGAGAAAAAGATAAAGCAAGGTTTCATTAATGCTCATCTCTGAAGCTGTTTTCCCCAATAATTTTAAAAGGCAATTCTGCTTGCTATAAGTTATTCTAACAATCAGGATTAAGATTCAACTATATAAAAAGTTCCTTAATTCAAATGCAAAGCAAGTCAAAAACAGACCAAAGACAATTTAAAAAATGCGTTCAATTTGTAGACTTCTTTTGCTGCTGAGAAAAAAGAGGGAAACGGTTAAAATTTATAAAGTGTATGCACACATTTCTACCATTAGGGCAATATGTAGGTGTGTATGTGGGTAGGTAGTTATTCTATGTGTGTGTATGTATGTAATTTAAGCTCTTTATGCCATGAGAAAAGTCATAATTTGCATGGTACAGATTGCCTGACTACAGAAATACACATAATATATAATCTATATCCTGCAAACCACCACTTTCCTCACGCCTTAAAGAATTTACAGTGTTTCACTTTTATAAACCACATACACCATATAATAAGCCAATTTATGCTTATATCAAAAATTCTACTAATACTAAGACAACCAGATTCCACATCAAAACATCCCTCTGGGTTGATACTGCTGCTATACATATATGCCATATATGAAAAGCCTTAGCATTTCTCATTTTTTATTTCATAATGAATCCTCAAGGTTAAATTTTTTCAGTCATATTAAGAAATATATGCTACAAACTAATTATCTTCTCAGAACATATATACTAATAACAAATAAATGGTTTGATAAAACCCCAACCAGTAAAATGCTTACTACTTTGTGGAATGAAGCAGACTTGCTGGATTTAACTTTCAAACTGAGCTAAATTTTTGTAGTAATCATGTTATTTTCTTTGGCTAAATTTATTGAAAATTCTTTGGAATTTGTCAAAACCCAGCCATAATTATTAGTGACTGTTGTATGGAATCAATTTACTACAACACAAAAATACCAGCTGTTACAGTATGTCCTGAGAGGGATTACTGAATATTCTTAAATTGAAGTTCAATCCATCTTTCCATAAAAGAGAGACCCAAGCGCCAGGAACAGAACAGCGGTATCAAGCGCACCTGAAGCATTTACAATACCCAATAGAACTATTACGACCTGCCTTTAAAAAGGCTTATTTTTTGAAATTTCATTATTCCAGTTGTACCTTGCTTCTATATATCACACTGTATCAGGTTCTTCTGGCATCGATCATGTGGAAACAGTGAAATATGTGAAGGGCTACGCGCTTATAGCGTTCACTTTCTACCCACCCCAGGGTAACCCTGACAGCTCTGTGGCACTCCTGACACCTAGTGGTCAACCATGGAAGTCCAAGTATTTGTAGCAGAAAGTTTTTTGAGTTTTCAGTAAAGCAAAAACAGCCTTAATTTGCTCAGGAAGTAGTCAACTGCAAAAATTTTCACTAATGTGCACACACACACACACAATTAAAGAAAAACACGCTCCTCCTGTGTGTCTCCCCTACTCGCAGTACTCACTAAAACACTTCCCTTCTTACACCAGATGTCACTTCCCACACATCAAGCAATTCTCCAACACCAGCTGCGTGTCCTACAATTTAAACCAATTCTGATATTATCTACCTGGAGATAGCATCAGATTTCACAGCTTAGGGGCTCCGTCCTACAAGACCACCCGCTACCCACTTCAGATGTCAATCTGAGGTCCAAGTTGTCACCTGTGCTTCTGATAGACTGACTATACATCACAGGTTTCCATGACCCCCTCCTCTGGTTCAATTAATTTGCTAGAGTAGCTCACAAAACTCAGGACAACAGTGTAATTACTTGTTTACTAGTGTATTACAAAAGGATATAACTCAGGAACAGTCAGATGAAAGAGATGCATACAGGAAGGTATGTGGGAAAGGGCACGGAGCTTCCATGACCCTCTCTGGGCCCACCACTCTCCCGGCACCTCCTCGTGTTCACCAACCTGGAATCTCTCCAAAAACCATCCTTTGGGGTTGGATGGAGGCTTCATTACATAGGCAAGATTGATTAAATCATTGGCCATTGGTGATTGATTCAACCTGCAGTCTCTTGGGGGGTGGGGGGATGAGATGACACTGACTGAAAGTTCCAACCCTCTAATCAAGGTTGGTCCCCCAGCAACCAGCCCCCATCCTTAGTGGCTTTCCAAAAGTCACCTCATTAACAAACTCAGGTGTCGTTGAAAGGGGATTCTTACAAATAACAAAAGACACCTTTATGGCTCTTATCGCTTAGGAAATGCCAAGGGTTTTAGGAGCTCTGTGCCAGAGACCTCATGAAGACCAAATACATATTTCCTTTTATAAATCACAATATTACCCACACTCACAAAGTTAATGCAGATGAACAAGAAATCAACCTAACTTCCAAACACATTTCCTCTCTATTTGGGGGAGTATTCAAGAATATGAAAACTTGTAGTTAACTGTCATCATAAATAAATTATTTAATAATCATATTAACATCCTGTTGTTTCAGGAGACAGTAACTGTAATAATGTAATAACTGTAAAAACAGTAATCCAACTGTAGATTACTTCACCAGTTCCAAATACTCTACAGTTACACTTCCAAAACCTAATAGAGCAATAACACAAACAAGAGTAAACTTATATTTTTTACAAATCTAACATCATAGATTTTTAAAAATGCTGAATTTGAAAGATTCATTAGTTACATTAGCCAATGCAAGCAGCCAACTGCTATCTATTAACATTATTCAAACCTTCAGAAATTATAATTGTAAGAAAATAAAGAAGGCAACATATAGCTAACTAGCATAAATCTGTTCCTATAACAAAGGCATTTATACCTTTTATACCAGCAGTTCTCCAAGTGTGGTCTGCAGACCCCCAGTGGTCTCCAGGACCCCTTCAGCGAGGCTCATAAGGTCAACCTATTTTCATAAAAATACTGAGACATTATTTGCCTTTTGCACTGTGTCAACATTTGCACTAATGGTGACAAAACCACTGGTGCCTAAGCACAAATCAAGACAATAGCAAATTAAAACTATTCATCCTCGTATTCTTCACTGCCAAGTACTCTCATTAAATAAAACAAGGGCCAGCCCCAGTGGCCTAGTGGTTAAGTTCGGCCTGCTCCACTTGGGCGGCCCGGGGTTCAGTTCCTGGGTGCAGACCTACACCACTCGTCAGTCAGTGGCCATGCTGTGGTGGCTGCTCACATGCAAAAAGAGGAAGATTGGATGTTAGCTCAGGGTGAATCTTC